TTTGACTATTGTTGGGACTTCCTGTGAAATTTTAAAATTTGAGCAAGAAGATACATGATTCACCATTTCCTTCTGAAAACAAATCAATTGAAATCACGCAGGATGCATATATCCGATATGCAAAATTGTCAATACAGCACGTCTGAGCGAAGTGGTTTCAAATTTTTTTCCTTGAGACACAGAAAAACTACCATAATTTAAAATAAAGTACTGTACTGTATTACCGATTTTGATATTTTGCAGAAATTCCCACCCAAACCCCCAGGGTTCAATCTGAGTTTTATTTCTTCTCCAAACTCAACAATTACTTCGCTGTAATCTTGCTACTATAATTCGTTTGTGCCGTGCGCGACAAAAATTAGCGGCAAAAAACAGTTTTTATTGTTTATCATTACGTTTTTGCGATTATTTCGCAATGCAAAATTCTTTATCGAGTGGACGAATAGGAACATGATTTTCACATGGACATTTATCATACTTACTTTCAAAGGACTGGAGTGGTAGTAATAATCTAATGAATTTTCTTACATTGATTGAGCTGCCCTTGAAGAAACAAGGAGTGATGAAAAAAAAGTTACAACCGAGAACAATATATGCTGAGTTGATGTCCCATATTTTATTTTTTTTGTTATTCAACCGTAAACATTCTGGACTCACAGATCTATCCTCACAACGAATTTCGGTGTTATTAAAATTCCCTTGACTTTCCCATGCTTTTGAACGGAGAACTGAAAGAAATTGGCATTTTTATTCGGGTTATCTATTTAAAACTAGGCTTAATTGAAATAATGATGAAATATCGGAAAAGATGAAGATCAAATGTTCAAGAGAAAAACATCTCTAAGCAAATTGAACTGCGATAAGTGATTGTGAGGAATGACTCAAACAGGAAAAACTATAAATGGACGACAGCTAACATGGAAAATCATAAAATCTTCCGAGGAATTGTGGTGGACGCTTATTCAATATAATCAGGAATATAATTTAATCTATGAAATCTAAACAACAAATCACAGCGCCGAGAAAGTTATCTCGTTTATGAAAAAACGGTAGTCAGCTGCAGGTCGTTCAAATGCTGAAGTCTATACATGAGTCAAGTCACAAGGCTTAAAAATCTCAAATCTTACGTCAGGCCAATTCTGAAACTTGTTAGAATAAGAACATCCTGCTTATGCGGCACGTTAGTGTATTTTAAACTAGAGTGGCGTTTCTTTTATGTCGTTCTTTCCAAAATACTGTACCTCATTCAACTTCTTGTCCACTCTAGAACGTAATTTTTTTCTTTCGAATTCAACGATTTTTGAAAATTCTATTCCAACTTTTTTCCCGAATCAATTTAAAACTGCAGTTGGTGTTGGAGAAATTGTTCCCGGGGCAGTACTACGAAGTTCGCGTGTCGGCGTCAGCCAGAAGCATGTACGACACTAAGCGGATCCTCGAGAGTCCGTATTCCGGGACTCGACGCGTTTACTACAGCAGCTGCACAGCTCTTTTGCTTCTACTGCACCCACCGCACCGCCCAAAGTGAGTTTTCCGGTTGCGGACCAACGAGTGGTAACAAACACGCAGCGAGCAGCAGCGGCCAAGGACGAATACGGACTTCATCTGCTTTCGGTGAGATTATCCCCATCTATTTAATCTAGGCTTCTCTCGTCATTTTAATCTCGAAAACACTTTTGACAGCATGTCTCAGAATGTGTTTTTTTATCGTAGTCCTGTAATTATTATATTTCTTCGAGGGGTGAGACTATCTGCGGAAATAATTTGAAATTGGCAGCGAAGAAGCGTCCGTTCGAAAATCTAACATGTGAAAAATTTTAGCGCCTCGGGTTTTCTTTGTTTTTTTATCCCAAGATGGGGGTTCATTTTTTTTTACTCAAGAATAATCGTAAGCCTTGCATTAATTTTAATTGTTCTTGCTTTTTTTAATTTTTCGAACAACTAAAAATACAGAAAGGGATGCGGTTGCCGAAAATCGACCGGATCGAAAGGCGAGCAGACGAACGGCAAAGTGTCGCTGTCGGGGACAAAAAGCAACCCGTCGAGCGGCAAACACGACACCTCAGAAATCACTGCTCTCAAGCACGAGCCCGACTTAACGGCGTCCACAATGACGCCGCAAAAGCGGTCAAACGGCTCCTCTCATTCAGCCGCCACCGCCGCCGCCGCCGCCGCTGAGAACGGGTCCTTCTCCATGAAAATCCACTCCACTGCCGGTGGCGGCGTTGTCGGCGACTACACATTGTCGAATCCGAACGCTGTCGAAGACACTCCATTGCATCATCATCATCAGCATCATCAACAGCAGCAACAACAGAATTCCTTGGGAGGTCGAAATAATCACCACGACGCCGGACCTATTTTCGGCGACTACAACGCATCGATGGGTTCTGCTGGGTTCGGGTTGCCGAGTCGGGAAGATTTCCTAGCCGGGGCACAGTTCTCGGCGAACCCGATGGTCGACACTGGGTACTTGCGAGACGGGGGACTAGTCGGGGTATCCACTTGGGACCCCGTGACTGCGTCAGTCAGGGATACCTGGTTGCCACCCGGTCCCAAGGGCCACTTCCCAGCTGACTCACGCTTTCTATAAAATTATATTAATTTAAAGAAAAATTGAAATGCAAAGGACGAAAATCAACACTCGTATGTTCGATGAAGAAGAGAAATATTGCCGAATTACCGTTACAGAAGCATAAAACTCTATGTTAAGCATGCGTGATAAATAAATAAATAAATCTGTGAGATTGTAAAAAAATCGGGTTTTATAACGAATGATCCCAATTAACAACACAAAGGCATTTTTCCTGTTTGGTAATTTAATTTTCGGAGTTTAGGTATTCCCATAAGCGGGAATAATTTCAACAATGAAAATAAAAGAAATCCTCCAATTTTGAAGGGTTGTTATGTACCGCGTTTTTCCTAATATATTGCAGTTTTTATAGCATCGGATTTCCTTCGAATTTCATCAGAGCATGTGTCCTATTCTTTTTTGAAAAAAAAAGTGCAAGATAATTCGTGGATCGAGATTTAAATACTGTAAATAGATTAAAAGTCGGACATTTCACGGTTTTTATCATCGTTGATCGAATTAATGACGACGGAATCCGATTGAGAGGATTAAGAGGGAAGATTAATCAAATGAATGAGCTGTATTATTATTTTGTGTGACTCCTAGTCAATGAAAATTTGACAAATGAACTCAAGTGAGTGATCGGAATATGAAGAATGAAAATTTCGAATTGAAAATGTTTTTATTCTTGCTTTTAGCGAGTGAAAAGTGCGTATTTTCAAAAACGCCTTTCGGGCTTATTCATTGACCTTATCCTATATTATGGGGAAACACGGTGGCATAATCAACCCTTTAAATAATCGAATTATAGGCAGAAAGAATTTTCGTTTTTTTTCAAAGCAATTTCAACAACATTGCTGTCAATATATTATGCATTATATATTCGAATTATGACTAAAACGCTCATTTTTAAATTTGATTCCATTGAGAAGTATAGTTGTTGATACGAATTTCTTCCCGGGCACTTCTGAGATTTTGGTGAGGAACTTATTATCCGTGAACTGTAATAGAATAAGTTAAGTTATTATCTTGAATTCATTCTAAATTTCGAGGATTTTCAAGTGTATTGATGAGACACCATTTATAATCAAGCAGATACAGAATTATTTTCTCAAGAAACCGATTAATCAAGCCGAAATAAAATTGAAACTTGAATGATTACCTTCATTTGCTCTTGTTCAACATCAAGCACTGATTTGCAATTGAAATCAATTGAGTATGCTTTCTCTTCGGACGTCTTCCATGCAGCCAGAAGCAAATTTTTCAATTCCTGAAATGGCTTCTCCAAATATTTCAGAGAAAAGCAAAGAACTTTTATTGAACGTTTATTTTATGTGGCGAACATCTACCGCATTCCGTTTTTTCTTCGATCGAAAATCGAATCGCCTGCTGATGATCAGCATAATTTGATGAGAGATTTTATGATATAACAGTTCAATTACCATGAAAATTGACTGAACAAAGAGACTATTCATTTTGAACGATAATTTGTGCCAAACGAGGAGCGGAAAACACGGTTGGAATTTTTTGGAGAACGTGAAGTGATTTTCTCTCCGCAACAAGAATTATTTTCTTGTGACGTTAGTCTAGCAATTTTTGCTTTTTTGGTGAAGTTCGGAATCACAACTACAGTCCTTTTTTTTTCTTTGGAATACTGACATCGTTGGAATTTAATTCCGAATAACTGTGCAAACAGTAAAATCGTTTCTTTTTTGCATGCGTAATGCGTTGCGCGTTGAAAAATGTGATACGGCTCCTCGTCTTTCAATGAGGTTTCAAGTGTGTGTATGAATGTCCCAGTTCGTGTGTGTTAATCGGCAACTAATTCTTTTTCAGGCTTTTTCGGCTAACGAGGAAAGCCCCTCTCTTTTTTTGTGTGCAAATGTCGATGATTGTTCGTGAAAATTGTCCCCCTTGATGACGACGACGATTGATGTAGATTGTTGTGTTTTGCGTGTAAATAAAAAAAATGACAAAATGAGCGACAAAAAAGGGAATCATTCGAGGGGCGATTGTTGTTGTTGTGGCGCTTTGATGGCGTACGATTTCTTTCGAATGTTCTTTTCTTTTTTCCTGGTGAGAGGAAACATTTGCTGAATTGTGGGAATTTTTTCGGCACACGATTTTTTTCTTGCTGATTTGTCCTCCAAAACTGCGGTATTGCATCTCCTGGTGGATTTTGTACTAAGTGTTCCCGCGCTGACGTTTGAGATAAATAAATTGAAATGTGTTGGATGGACAGCAAAGCTGAAATCATTTCAATTCTTATACTGAAAGCCATATTTCGTTAGTGAATTGTCTAAACTCATACTGTATGTGACGATTGAATTTCGGAACAAAAATTTGCATCTTAAATCAAATGTTATGGAGGCATGGCAATTTATTTGCTCTTCTGGAGTATTGAGGGTATTCGAAATCAAGATGCAACAGCCCATTTTAAAATTGACAAAAAAATGTTTGACGTCATCCACCTCTAAAAGAGTCAATTTCCAATTTGAACAAGTGAGCACTCGTTGGATAGATTTTTAAAATCAGTCAACTTTGATAAATTCAAAGGAGGCTGCTTCTTTTCATTTTCTGCCGCATCTACTCAAAATTTACAAAGCTTTCAGGTGTGCTTGCTTTTTGATGAGACGGCGAAAGCTGAGGTTCATTATCATGAACACACCGCTCATAATTAAGGTTTAAGGCCCTGACATTCATGAGTACACTCAATTTCAATTTACATCAAGGCCAGAATATGAGTTATAATGCGAATAGTATATTTACTCTATCTAACGAATAAAGGTTTTCCAGAAAGCAAAAGCGCCCATGCAACAAAGCAAGCATTTTGACACGCGTCTTCAAAAAATAATAAATTGATATGAACTGGGCTGTTATTGATGTTTTGTCTGGAGTTTTTATCGTATTTTATTCACGATCTTCAGCTCGGAAACACTTCTTTGTAACCAGAAATAATTGAAGGAAATCGTTCGGGAAGCGTAAACGCATTGTTCTTCACTCAGCAAATTGTTGATGCAAAATTAAACAAGCGACTATGTGGGGCTTCACTCGTTCTTTTCCTATACTCCATAGCTCATGATATGCACGTGTTTATTCAAGAATTATTCATCAAAATACATGAGGATTTTTGCTCAAATTGCAGTGCTATGGGTATTTTCAGCGTTTTCTTCCGATTATGAACGACAACATTCCTATACAATAACTCAATACCTAGTTCAAAAAATTGTTTGCGTTTCAGAAGTTCAATTCTACGTTCAAGCGAAAATTTGTGGAATATTTTCACTATATGCACGTCACGCTAGGTTTTTTGCGAAAAATGTAGTGGGACGCCAACATTTCCCTAGAATCATGTCTTTTTAAATTAAATGCTACTCCAGTTTACAGAAGGAATCGCAAAAATCACTACGCCCTGAAATGCAGGCGATTCGACTCAGGAACCCTTAGAATAAAAAAAAAATCTGCCTTAAAAAACTCTTCGACGCATTTGAATACGTAACTAGACAAATTCTGCTTTTGAAAACGGAACATTCTCGGGCAACAACAAAAAATTGACCGTTTCTAAACGATTCACTGACAAAGAGTCCACACAAGGGTAGAATGAAGAATGTTGTCCGTTTCTAATCCTTCCTGGATCCAGATTGGAATTAAATGAACCGGCTGATGAAGGCGAAGGATTACGCCGGAAGCGGATCAACTATGGTACTGCAATTCCTGTGCGAAACTGCGTCATCAATTCAAAATTCTGGGCCTCTCATCCTGAACGACTCGGCAGATTTTCCTCACAATTGAACCCAACTCCACAGGCTTTCGGAAAATATTCCCAAATGGTCTGCATCGAGTGGAGCTGCTGCTGCTGGGAGATGGGAACGGGACGGAATGCCCCAAAAATTGGGACCACCCCCCGAGAAACGATGGATTTTTCAGAATTTCAAATCTTGAAGTCCTACTCGTTCGAGAAAAATTATCGTATGCATTTTTCCCCTTCGATCTTAATGAATCAGGATACATTTATTTTATGGACTTGCTGCCAGTCATCTAATGTAACCCTATTTTTAGCTTCCTGTATTTTGAAGTGTGTTAGACACATCACTGCAGACACATTTCTTGTCCACTTTCTATAGGGATGATCGGCCTCCGAAAATCATCATATGAAATTAAAGGAACAAAAATTCGAAAACTTGCGAACAAAAGAAATCTGAAAAATTGAATTAAAATTCTTAAAAATGGGGACAAAAATTCTATACAGCCGGAGAGTCTGTAGAAAAGTATTTCATTAAATTGCGATTAATTTAAGCTGCGCCTTTGTAACTGCCGGGACTTGGAAAAAATCTTTGTAAATTAAAATGCGTCATAACGAGATTCTACATCGAAATCCAATGCTGTAAATGGTTCTTTGGTTCCACAGGTAGCAGCGTGTATTGTTTGTGCTGAATCTTTCATGATTACAGCTCAAAATTATGAAAATCAAAACCAATTCGTTTCTTCTTCTTCTTCCGGCGTTTCCCTAGAATCCTGTCTTTTTAAATTAAATGCTACTCCAGTTTACAGTGGTAATCGCAAAAATCACTACACAACCGGAATTATGCTGGACCAACACAGAAACACTGACGTTTCTACGTTTATATCTCTGAAGTAAGCCCTACTTGAATGATTCCGTAAAATTTAACGCGGCAACAATAAGTTCGACAGTTTGTTGAACTCCGTCTTCTCATAATTTCAGCTTCCATGATTGTGTTATTTTTTGCTTCTTGTTCCTCTTTCCAAGTCTTCCTTCTTAGTTTCATTTTTATTTTATTTTATTTTTTTTTCAAGAAGATCCCAGACACCGACGATTCATCAAGGAATCGCATCACGACGCAACGTCACGTGCGGATTGCTAAGAGCCGTTGTTATTGGGGCGCAAACGGAGGGAGGAACGGAAACGAACAGCAGCTTTTGGATAAGCTCATTACTGATCGAATCTCGGTGCAGATGCATAATTACGCTTGTTGTTGTGTCCATGTACATGTATGTGTGCGTATGTATAGGTATATAGAATAATGAGAGAACAGGAATAAAGGTTGGCGGGGGGGAGTGCCTTTTTTCCGCCGTTACGTGCCCAGCACTGGCAACAGCCAACTGCAATATTCCCGTGCTCTGTTACGGCTTCATATGCATTCATGTGTGGCTGCGCAAAAGCACAATAGTGAGAGGGAAAAACTTTCCGATTTCCTGTATTTCGGCTCGTAAACAAGGTACTCCTGCTGAGAAGCAGGATTGCCAACTTGATTTTGTTTCTCATTTCGCCGAAACTTTGAGTTGAGCTGTTCTACTGCTGGAGCGCTGTTTTTTTTTTTATTGGAAGACTCTCTCCGAAAGAAGCGGGAAGAGTAATTGTTACTTTAATCTTTGAACTATGTGTTGCTTTTCTCTAAAAATCGTCTCACTGAATTTAAAAATCTAGCAAACCCAAACCCTGTTACTGTAGGGCCATGAGGGTGCCTGCCACTTGAAGGATGGCTCCTGAATTTCAAAAGGATTTTAAACACCTGTTTAATAAATCAAAAGGTAGATTCGCAACCCACGAGACCTATTCCTGGAGAACACCAGGGAACAACTGGCTCTGCAGCCCAAGACTTTTCCATTCCTCAAAACCTCTGGTTATTCCTGCAGGGTCAAAACTTAGGAAAAGTACCCTGAATCATCTTCCCACTAATTTTAATGTGGAAAGTCAAACTTTTTCCCAAGGTTTCCAAGAACCAAGATGCCAATCTACCCAGAGTAACCATCTGAGAATTTCTACACCTTTCCAAAATAATTCCTATAATACCATTTCCAACACCCCAAAAATAAAAATGAAAATAATGCGCTCGAAATTCCACAAGTATTGAAATTATTTTTTAAAGAAATGGTTCTTTATGAATGATTCGAAGCTTTTTTTATATCGTTCAGTTGGCCTTAAATAGAAGAATGTTTGTAACTTTTGGTAACACTCAGGCGAAAAAAATGATGAATGTAGGAGTTTGATTCCGTTTGGCATGTATTAACGCTTCTGTGACCAAAAGATGATAATCTCTGATGTTGTTCCAGAGCTCTATATACTCTGGTTCGGGGGGTGTCAAAAAGTTTGGTGTAACTGTGCAAATTTTCATTTTGGGTGTGCGTATATGTGAGTAAAACCGGAATTGAATAATCTTCATATTCATATGATCCTGGAATGTTTTTTCTTTCTTTTCAAAATTTTTATTCAAGTTTTCTCTGTGTTTTTTTTTCAAGAAAAGCAGTTCTTTTTAGACCCAGGAGAGACCTGTACAATTTTTTTTCCTCTTTGCCTGCTGAATCTCTGACGAGAGAAAATGACGTTGCAGGATACTGTTTAAACCAGTGTATAGGGTTTTTCAAGTCAGCATACATGTCCTCTATCTTATTAAGCCAGGGAACAACATTTTATTCTCCCCGCTTGTGAAGCTTGTCGATTACCCCCTTGCAAAGGAGACGAAGGGGGGAGGGTTTTTTTTTTTTTTGGGATTGGCCAGATGTAGATGAGATCCCGGCAAAACCCGTGTGTTGACTGACAGGGTGGAAAATACCGGAGTCATGATACACAGCATGGCAGTAAACAGATGTGGATCAAAGCCACGTCGTCGACGTCATGCATGTAAAACCCCGGGTTTTGCCTGTAGCCCGTCTCCAACATGCCGGCGGGTTTTGTTGATCGAGCTTCCGCAGTGTGGATCAGGTGCAGAGCGGAAAGTTGCAATTAGATTCTTTGATGCCGCACATAGCACTGGTGAGGGCTCCGAGTATATGTATAACTGGATGATGCACGTATGTATTCCCCGGACGATATGCCCGTTTCTTCGACTGCATTTCCATAATCATATGCGCAAGTTGCAGCACAGCAGCGGGGAATGCTTGCTTGAAAACATCAGAGGAAGTTCATGTGTCTTTTTGCCTCTCGTTCGTCGTCGTCTGCTGCTGCTGGGTATGCTATATACGAGGGCTCTAACAAAAGTTCTCGGAGTAGCAATGAAAATGGCTTAAAATTGCGCTGAAAAAACATTTATTCTTTAGGGAAAACAAATTCTGTGGCACACAAAAAAATCAGCCCTGTTTGACAATTTTGTTTAATTTTTTTGCAAAATTCATTCATGTAGAGTTTTGCTCTCCACTAAAAATGAGGCGCCCTTTTTTTGTTGTAGCCCAGCTTTCCCCTCAGAATTTTTGAAATCAACTCGGCATTATTTCTAAGGGTTGCCTCCAGGTCATCCAAGGCAATTCCGCCATTTTCATCAACAGCCGCCTTCACAGCCGCCAAAGTGGCGGCCAATGTGAATTAAAATGGCGCCCAATTGAGCTGAAAAAATCATTCTTTAGGGAAAACATATTCTTTGGCACACCAAAAAAAGCAGCCTTGTTTGACAATTTTTTTGAATGTTTGGCAAAATTCAACCTGGCAGAGTTTTGCCCTCCACTCGAAAGATGAGGCGCCCTTCCTGCAGTTTGTGAAGGCGGCTGTTGATGAAAATGGCAGAATTGCCTTGGAAGACCTGGAAGCAGCCCTTGGAATTAATGCCACATTTATTTAAAGAATTCGGAGGGGAAAGCTGAGCTACAACAACAACAAACTGCAGGAAAAGGGGGCCTCATCGTTTGAGTGGAGGGCAAAACTCTGCCAGGTTGAATTTTGCAAAGCATTCAAAAAATTGTCAAACAGGGCTGATTTTTTTGGTGTGCCAAAGAATATGTTTTCCCTAAAGAATGGTTTTTTTCATCTCGATTGGGCGCCATTTTAATTCATATTCCGAGAACTTTTGTTAGAATCCTCGTACAGCTGTACAGTATATAACCGTGCTTGGCACAGGAGACGCAGGGAAGCGCGGGTTTGCTTTTCTAATTTACCTGCTTCTTCAATTCCTTTGCTGAATTCCGAGTCTCTTCTATACCTCGTTTCCTCTACTATTGCTGGATTCTTGTATTCGGAAGCTTGTGAGAGGAAGAGAAACAGGCCCGGTTTTTGCATTTCACCTGGTTTTACTTCAGAAAAAAAAATCAAATCTATAGTGGCAATTTTTTTTTTCGAGCGAAGATGCACCGAAGTGGGTCATCGTTATTGTTTTTACACATTTGCTCATCATCGTGGAAATCAGGTTGGTGTCCGATGCCAGAGATGGCCTTGTCCGTGTTACAAATACTGTAGATTTGGATGTACAGTATTGTATCATCATGAATGAGAGATTGATTCGCAATTTCAATTTTCATATGCACCTCTTCAAGATTAAATATATCAGTCTGGGAATTTTAATGGGCATAAATTATCCAGAAACCCCTCTCTGTCTCTCTCTCTCTCTTTTTTGTCGCATAAAAAAATTTCGAGAATTCCGAGTCTCTTCTACCTTGTTTCCGCTGGCTTATTTTATTCGAAAGAAATATAAAAGACCATTTTTTTCATTTCACCTAGTTTATTTTTTTAATCAGACTCTAAAGTGCTGGGAATTATTTTTTAGAGCGGAGATGCAACGAAATGGCTCATCGTCAATTTGACATTTGCTATCTTCACGAAATGGTTGGTGTCCGATTCCAGAAACAGTATATGACTTTTTACGTGTTTCCATGATATTTGTACTGCATATGTCGTCATGAACCAGAGGTTGATTCCCAATTTCATTTTTGCATGTAGCTGAACTGCTGAAGATTCATGATTTTAAGAATTTTAAAAGACAGGAACCATCCAGGAAAGGCTTGCAAGGATTTTTATGAGGAAAGTTCAATGTTTTTCACAGAAGTCACCCAACGTATTTTTTGCGGCAACCTTTTGAAACGAACCAAATTGCCAATGGCAATTGAGCCGTAAGCAACAATTAACACCCCCTTGCTCAAAATGGGGGAATATTGGCCCTAAAAGAGCATGCCAACAGGCGGCAAGTCAAAGAAAATGTGCGCCTGCTTTATGACCAGGTGGCCGAAACATGTGTACTGAAATGTGAGCACCCAAGAGACACAGAGGGATGACACTAAAACCTTCAAAAAGTCAATTCCCAAAGAGGGAGAAGGTTTTGACTCGAACTATAATAAATTTCCGCCGAGTAGGATGCGCAGTTAAAATTGGAAACTGCTTTTCTGGCATCTTTTGTTCAACAGCATGAGAACTGTTTTTGAGCTAGATTCTCACAACCATTTCTCTTTTGTCAAAAGGACAGCACAGTTCTGGTGGAAATATCCGACACCACAATTAGAGCAAAGACCCCCTTTTCTCAGGGGGGGGGGGAGAATTTTGTACAAAACCCTGGTTTTCTGAGACCTAGGTATCAGTTGAATTGAGTCATTACATTCACTTCAGTTTGGACAAGAATCCTCGCCTTAAGAAGACATTTTATCAAAATCCTATTCCATGTATATTCTGAGGATTTTCATGTTGAATCACGGTGATGATCATTAACCGAGAAGTTTTACGAAGAATTAAAATCAGCATACTTTTGACAGTAATTATCATCCTTCTAGTAAGTAAAACAATGTATTATACAGAACTTTCTGAGCGGCAATCCCAGTGTTGTCATCGATTCTATCGTTGTTGTTCAGATAATTAGTACTGCACTGTAAAAAAAAAAAAAGAACAGTCGCATACTTGGCAAGAAAGGATCAAAATCCACACAAACTGAAGAAATGCTAAATTTACTGGCATCTTCAACAAAGGTGGTGAGGTCTACATCAAGCATCGCACAATGACTCTGTAATTCTCTCACTTCTCACCTTCAACGGGTTGCTCTCTCACCTGTAAATCTCTATTTTTTTCTCTCTCTCCCTCACTCTTTCGTGATGTCAATCCATGATAATCGGTTCAATAAAGACAAAGCGAGTAATGCAAACTCTTCGTCTAAACATGGATTGTTGCGTGGGCCAGGTACAGCCTCAGTCCTGGGCCGCGACAGCGAATCTGCGAAACCCCGTTCTGAGTTCAAGTTGAATAGCGTGACTGATCGCGATCCCCACTCCGTCAGCCTAGTAAACCTAGACAAGACGCACAAATCATACAAAATGTCCATGTCTGTGAAAGCACCGCCTTCCAGACTGCTTCCTGGGCTGGCCGAACTAACTGAGGGCCTGAAGNTTATCAAAATCCTATTCCATGTATATTCTGAGGATTTTCATGTTGAATCACGGTGATGATCATTAACCGAGAAGTTTTACGAAGAATTAAAATCAGCATACTTTTGACAGTAATTATCATCCTTCTACAGTAGTAAGTAAAACAATGGATTATGCAGTACTTTTGAGCAAAAATCCCAGTGATGTCATCGAATTTATTGTTGTTGTTCAGATAATTCGTAATGCACATACTTTGCATGAAAGGATCAAAATCGGCTCAAACTGAGGAAATGCTAAATACATTGGCATCTTCAACAAAGGTGCTGAGGTCTACATCAAGCATCGCACAATGACTCTGTAACTCTCTCACTTCTCACCTTCAACGGGTTTGAGAGAGTGGACATTTAGAGATAAAAAAAGAGAGAGAGGGAGTGAGAAAGCACTACAGTTAGGTACTATTAGCCAAGTTATTTCTGTTTCGCTCATTACGTTTGAGAAGCAGATTTGTACCTAACAAGCGTGGGCCAGGTACAGCCTCAGTCCTGGGCCGCGACAGCGAATCCGCGAAACCCCGTTCTGAGTTCAAGTTGAATAGCGTGACTGATCGCGATCCCCACTCCGTCAGCCTAGTAAACCTAGACAAGACGCACAAATCATACAAAATGTCCATGTCTGTGAAAGCACCGCCTTCCAGACTGCTTCCTGGGCTGGCCGAACTAACTGAGGGCCTGAAGCATAATCACACTTCCTGGTTCCTTTTCCGGCTCGGGATCACCGTGTGCGACATGGTTTTACTGGCCTACACCATTGGTGAATGTCCCCTGTGCCATTGGTATATTTGCCAGCGATATTTTCTGCGTGCTTTAAATGCGTCATTCATGTTTGAGATTTTGAAAAATAAGGGCGTCATTAAAGTGTCATTTTCGGCACGTCTAATAACGGAAGTGGAAAGTATTTCGGGATACGAACAAAAAAAAACGAAGCCTTGTCCAACCCTTAGAGAGCCTTACTTGTTTCCTTGATTATTTTAAGGGGTTCACATCGCAAAGGATTTTCTCATGTTGAACAATTTTCTCGTGCAAATAAATTTTTTTTCGGCAGGGAAATTTCCTTTTACTAATATTATTTTAGTTTTCTCTTATGGCAGGATACTCGGGACCCACTGGATTCGTGAAGGGATTTAAAGGCTCTTTAACGTCTTACTTCAAACCAAAAAATTATGCAGTAAATTTAGAAATGTAGTCTATTTTCATGTGCTATAACGCATCTCAAAATGTAAAATCAATGTACTGTATGTCATCATTTAAAAAGGATTTCGGTGATAATTTGCAGCAAATTATTTTGATCTACCTCGAATTTTCCAGTTTTGATTTTCCTCTTTTTTTTTTGCACGAGTTGAATGCTAAAGTTTGTTTGCTTCAATTTGTTCATTCAATAATTATTAAAACGTTCAAATTCCCCGAAAATAAATTGACAAGTAAGCCTCGTTTTAAATTCACGTGACTGATGTCAGATTGCATTTTTTTCTTTTTCAGATGCCTCGATCCCGGCCGACGGACAAACTGTCTTCAACAACTCAGCAAAAAACTGGAAGTTGATAGACGACGTTCTAATTGTGATAGACACCTCGTTCGTTGCTATGCAAAGGTTTTTTCTTGCACGAAAAGGCATCTACGATAAGTGGATTCACGCCGAGTTCCTCATTATGCTATTTTCCTGCATCTTTCAAGTCGCGTACTGGCCGACGATTTATTTTTGCGGAACTCAAGCTGCGGTTCGTGTCCTGGCTTTTGCTGCCGTTAGGGCTTTAAAAGTCAGCATGTTCTTCAAAAGAATGCGAGAGATTTTCGCAGCTATGATGAAGTCTTGGAAGGTGATTTCAACATCAGCAATACATTTTATTTCATGTCTTCGTGCAGTTTTGGAGAAGAATATCATTATTTTTGGTTTGATGACGAAACTTCTTATATGATGGTCGTAGCTTGAAAATAAAAATGGGAGCATTTAAAGGAAAATTAATTTTGAAAATACAGGATACGTAACGCTTATTTTTGCGATAAGGCTTGGATTTATATCATGGTGTTCGTTGCACGTCTACTTTTTGGGGGAAACCATCAGGTAAATATTTTCGGTCACATTAAAAAATATATGCACGCGTCGGGGAATTACAGGTGAGCAGGTGTCTTTTGGGACTGGGAATACTTTGAATTCGATGTAAGCAGGATTTCTGCAGAATTATGACAAAAACTTGTTTTTCCATTTGCCTCAGGAATTTGCCATTTCCCTGTCTCTGCTTTTGTTGGGAACGGCGGTTTTCACTACAATAGCTCTCTGCGTGTTCCAGCCTCATGAGAAATCCAATTTCGAAGGATTCACTAGCTCCTACATTACAGCCCTTCAGGTGGGCGGGAACGAGCTCACAATTCCGAATTTGACGAGAAATTATGATTGAAATTTTGAGTTTTTTTTACGATTGCACAGATATTCACGCTTCACGACACGATGTCGATTTTTGAGAATTCTGCAAGTACGAATAGTGCGACGCGACTGGTTCAATTCCTGGTCGTGTTGGGATGGGTTTTCATTGGAGCTATTATTCTACGCAATATTATAATCGCAGTTCTAGGTAAAATGTGTGTTTCTTTACATGAAATACTGGACAATTTTACCAGTTTGTTTCTTGTTTTTGTTCCAAAGTTGAGGGCTTCATCAGACGAAAGGAGGAATATGAGAAGGTGAGCGATGAGCAGGAGAGACTAGAGCAAAGCCGGAAAGCGCAAAAAGGACTCAAAGAAGTGTTTCCAATCTTCTACAGACAGAGCGTCGAATGGTCACTTTTTTAAGCAAAATATTTCAGAATTTACTTTTCAATGTTTTCGTTTCTGAATGATGATTTCATGTTCCACAGGGCTTCTAAGGAAGTTGAAAACCTGGACCTGCCCACCACGCTAGACACCGTTCATGTCTTGCTGCGCGACTGCGAAAGTAATTAATTAATTGAGGCTGGGGGTTCTCTGAGCTGTGTTTATTAAAGCGCGGGTTTTAATTGCTGTCATCCTAACTGCCCATCAGCCTGGAGGACCACTTGGATGTCGGCCATTAAATATATGCCTGACAATTTTGAGGAAGTGATATGGCCTTCTCAAACGCTGGTCTACTACGAGAGCGCCCTGAACGCGCTGAGGAACATCATCAAGGAAGACAGCTTCATAATTGCTCTCACACGTGAGACATTTCCTTGGCCTGGAATTTCCCTGCTAACAATTAAACGGCAAAGTTTTTTTTTGGCTTGCAATTTTCAGAGGAAATCGCAGTTGCTTCGATAGCGAAACGACTTGAACTCCAACATCCAATGAGAGAGGATCCCGGGGAAAATGGAGAAGAATCTCGGGAAGAATCGGATTGGTCGTCCTCTTACAGCGACACTGACGATCATGAAGGCCATTCCGATCATTGAACATCATTCGCCATATGCTTTTTGTATTTTTCTTAAAGCCAGAAATAATCTTCAACTCACTCTGAAGCTTCTTGATTCGAACCAAACGACGTGAAAATATCAAAATAATCGATAAACTGCTCTTTCCATTTTATTACCGGAGTATTCCAACAAAGAGCGTTATTTTCCATCACTTGCCAGGGTTTTCTTTCAAGGAAGAATTTGTTGGTTCGAGCAAAGGTCACCGAAATGAAACCTGGGTTGAAAATCCAAAATGCTTAAATATTCGGCAAGATTGAATTCTGTTATTTACAAAAACCTAGAATTTTATTCCTGCCAAAAATAAAATCTCTCCCTGATGAGGATTTTTCAGCAAAACTTCGAAAGACTTCCGAATATTTTCAGACTTCCGCTATATAAACTGATCCGTCCGTTTTTTTTTTTTATGAGGAACCCGTCACGCGATATTTCAGTTGAAAAAAATTGGTCGAATTTCATTGTACTCGGCATGCTTTCCTAAAATATTTCGATTATTTTTCTATCCTCATGTTTTCATGAATTGTTGTCTTGGATGTATTGAAAAACCTGATGAAAGCAGGCTCCCCAATAATATCCGAAGTCGTTGTGTTCAGAACTTTGCGGGCTAACTTTCAATCATTTACATATACATATTCAATCATTTACATGTTTCGTTGAAGTGATGGCAGGTCAAAAAACTGGGTCAGGTTTATGGGGTTTCAGGAGTTCGGCCTCGGAAAACAGGTCAATTGAGCCGCGTTTTCCGCCAATGACGGGCAGCAATTCGCGTCGCAGGTCGGAATTGGAGGAAGTTGTTGTGCGGATCGATGATCGGTCCTCTCGAATGGAACAGGAACAGTTGGAAATCGTCGGTGACAAGAATTTACTGTCCAGGTTGTTAAATGTATAAAAAAAAGAATGCGAGGATGTTTTTTAGCGGATCTCTCATCGAGATCCTCGTTCTGCGTGGGAGGAAAATTTTTAGCTCTACAAACTGACACCGACGTACAGTACTCTCGCGCCAATTAAATGTGCTCCACGCACTCCGAAATATATTCTAGAGAAATAATTTTTAAACCTGCAAAAAATAATATATGACCTTTAAAAGAACTTTCGCGGTGAATTGAACGGTTACCTTAAGTTTAAATACCGTGTATAACGAATATACTGTAAATTCGTGATTTTTCAAGGTGTTGGGGAACCGATTGAATCAAGTATCTTATTAAAAATGCACCGGTTTTTTTAAAGTTTCGCTGCTGTCGTACAGCCCTCATGTTTTGAAGATCTAAAGAAGACACAGTAAAAAATCCTGTATATGTTCTATGAGGTCATATAGCATTTCAAATCCGATTAAGACGATTTCAACATTGTCAACCTGGCTGTCGAGCTACGAATTCCCTCCACATGTCGGTGGAGCGCACGAAACTTTTAGAGGGACTTGATGTTTTTGTCATAGATGTCGCTCATGTCAGCGTTTTATTGAATTTTCCCTGAACCGGAAATTCCTTATTGTACGAACTATTTCGGTTTGGTTGGTTTATTGTCTTTAAATATTCTCCAATCTTCTTGAATTAGATTAAAACTTGAGTAAATCGTTCTCTGGTGTGAATCTGGAAAAACAATTTCACATAAAAGAATGTTCTTCAAGAATCCGCCAGGAGGATGAGCGACGCAGGAGTAACCACGTGTGGTACGCGTTTCGTTTGGCAACTACAATCTGCGATCTCGCTTTACTCGCTGTTTGTGTTGGTGAGTTAAAGAAAATTTGATTAAATTGTATCAAGCAGATTTTCTTCGACACTCTTCCTTCCTGGTTATTGAAACCAGACCAACTGAGAAAGAAGTCTGACCTGGATCCGAGTGGACCGTTGCAGCCGAATAACTTGAAACTCATGGACGACTTACTCGTGACTGTTGACTTTTCATTTGTCGCACTCCAAGCTTACTTTTTGCGAAAGACCAACGTTTGGGACAATTGGATCATGGCGGAATTTGGAGTTACTGCATTTGCTTATCTATTTCAAGTCGCCTATTGGCCTGTACACATGCTTGTCGGACCCGTGGCTGCTATCCGTGTTTTGGCATTTGCGTCAGTTCGAGCAGTGAAAATCTGCATGTTTCTGCGGAGAATGCGAGAGATTTTCGTTGCTGTCACCATGTCGTACAAGGTGAGAAAAGATTTGATCAAGTAGGTTTTGTTTCAAGCCGCCGTGCTCTGTTATGGTACAGTATTCGACGAATGAAAATACAGTAATATTGCTTCTATGATCGGATTTTCGACTAAACTGCTGCATGTGTACAACCGTTGACGATGAGAATTGGGGGAAAAAATCGTTCGTAATTTATTGATGCTGATAAAGTCCATTATTCAAAGTTTGCTACAGTATGTAGTCTTGACCTAACTTTGATCCGAAAGATTAACTTTGTGCATCGCACAAACCATGATTTCGAAGTACTGCAATGGCAATTTTTAGTCAACAAGATCGTTCCATACTGAATGATTGATAACAAATAAATCTGCAACATGTACGTTCTGTATTTCTGTCAACTTCAATAATGTCGGCAATACGAATCGTAAATCGTCAGTTATGTACAAATCTAATCACCAGGTAAAATACAGTTTACTCATCATGAAAAGATATACATGAATTTATTGTTTGCAGGAATTCGCGATTTCATTTCTGCTGATGCTGGTTGGAACAGCAGTTTTCACGACTTTTGCCTTGTGTTTATTCGCTCCTCACGAAGATTCTCACTTCGAAGGATTTTCTAGAGCGGAGAATGCGAGAGATTTTCGTTGCTGTCACCATGTCGTACAAGGTGAGAAAAGATTTGATCAAGTAGGTTTTGTTTCAAGCCGCCGTGCTCTGTTATGGTACAGTATTCGACGAATGAAAATACTGTAATGTTGCTTCTATGATCGGATTTCGACTAAACGGTGTACAACCGTCAACGATGATAATTATAGGGAAAAATCGTTCGTAATTTAATTTATTGATGCTGACATTAAAGTCCATTATTCAAAATTTGCTACAGTTCGCTAGTCATCGGGACCAAACTTTGATCTGAACGATAAACTTTGTGCATTGCACAAACCATGATTTCGAAGTATTATTCTGCAATGGCAATTTTTAGTCAACAAGATCGTTCCATACTGTATGATTGATAACAAATAAATCTGCAACATGTACGTACTGCATTTCTGTCAACTTCAATAATGTCGGCAATACGAATCGTAAATCGTCAGTTATGTACAAATCTAATCACCAGGTAAAATACAGTATATACTCATCATGAAAAAATATACACGAATTTATTGTTTGCAGGAATTCGCGATTTCATTTCTGCTGATGCTGGTTGGAACAGCAGTTTTCACGACTTTTGCCTTGTGTTTATTCGCTCCTCACGAAGATTCTCACTTCGAAGGATTTTCTAGCGCTTTTATCTCAACAATTCAGGTAAAATATTTCATTTACGTTAATAAATGTGTTTATGCTTTGATCGATTTTTATTTTACGTCTTATTAAACGCAGATGTTCACTTTGCATCAGACCCAAGCTATAATTGACCGTTCTGGGTCACAGAGCAACGAGAGCACTGAAAAAGTCATACAATTTTTGTCTGTGCTTATATGGGTATTTTTCGGAGCCATGGTGCTTCGGAATATCATCGTGGCTGTAATGGGTATTGATTCGAAATTTTAGGGTCACAGAGCAACGAGAGCACTGAAAAAGTCATACAATTTTTGTCTGTGCTTATATGGGTATTTTTCGGAGCCATGGTGCTTCGGAATATCATCGTGGCTGTAATGGGTATTGATTCGAAATTTTCGATAATATTGAATTGCCAGTACTGTACATAGTCGAATCTGATTATCTTCCGGTTCCAGTGGGTGGTTTCATCAGAAGAAAGGAGGAATACGAAAGAGTTGCTTCGGAGCAAGCTAAGTCTGATCGCGCTCGCAAAGCTCAAAAACGGCTCAAGGAAATCTTCCCAGTTTTTTACACTCAAAGCGTCAATTGGTTGGATTTTTTTTGAAGATAAAAAGTAATGATGGCAAAATAATTTCAACTGTAATTTCATTCCAGGGCAAGTCGTGATCCTCATTTCGCGACGCTGCCAGAGTTGATGCATAACGTGGAGCAGATGATGGTCGAGTGCGGTAGTGAGTTAATGTTCCAGCATTTGTCAATATTTTGGTGTGATTTCCATTGTATTTTGACTAAAAAATGGTTTGAATATTTTGTTTTTTTTTATATCATAGCATGGAGAAAAGCATGGATGACAGCTTTGCAGTTCCTGCCAGAAGCATCGGAGAGAACCACTTGGCCGACGCAGACTCTGGTTTACTACGAATGCGCTTTAAATGCTCTGCACAACATACTCACTGAAGACCGGTTTCTCCTTAATCTCACCCGTAAATTCCAACTAGGCTTTGAAACTCTAGAATATTTTCATTGTTTTACTTTTTTTAACAGAAGAAATAGCGATTTCAGCGATTGCTGAACGCTTGCGGATCACGGAGCCGTACGAGTACAGCATGCACCACGGAGAGGATGGTGAAGGCGGCGAATTTTACGCCGAGGACGATTCGGATCATCATCAACCTCATAATTCTTAGGCTGAAATTATTTGTAAAATGTATTCCTTATTAGAGAATGATTCAAAATTCTATCCGTTTTCTTCAGTGAACATGCCTTCTTTCACGAGCAAATTAAAAATACTGTACCTCAAATTTTCTCTCTTGAATCTACTAGAAGTATAGTGGAGTTAATTCTGTCTTATTTTTTAATCTCTCTCCTTGGTTTAAGACTAAACGTTTTTTCTCATCTCAAAAGCATCAAATTCAACGACTTTTTTCCATGAATAAAACATTTTGCGTATACAAAGGAGTATTCCGTATCCTGACTTAAAGGGTAGACTCATACAGCTCGACCAACTACTGAAATATTAAGGATTTGGTTATCCCAAGTAAAAGAGTCAGATGGAAATTCCTACGCGATTCCCTTTAAAAAATGTATATGATTAAATATTTTAGGTTCTTCGGAATGATCAGCACGTGTGGTGCATCGACCACAAAGACGAATAAATTTGATAATGAATTAGGCTGAAAGGTAAAATTGATATGAATAAAACACGTACGCCGCCGGGGACTCGGCAGGGAGCCTTTCGGTGAGGTCTCCAAAAGAAAAGCGGTTCGAAATATATTTCAGAACAAATAATCAACACTGATAATAAGAGATGTTTGCACTTCGCGAGGTGAATTGAGACTGTAATGTAAATTAGTGTGTGTGGGAAAATGGCGAGACGATTGGAATTCCACGCTGGAATTCCAACGTGGAGTTTTTCTGCGGGCGACGAACGGGAGAGGCGGCTTGCGCCACCTATCCCTTACAGCACGCACATTTTTTCGCCCTTTTTTTCAAGGGAGTCGTTCGAGAAAATGCGGGGGTTTCCCTGGGATATTCTCGAAAATATATTGTTTTATCAAGTTGAAAATATCTTGTCCGCGGGTCAAGATTGCGAAAACAGTTACTGTACTTTCTTAACGAATCGAGTTATGCACGGTACAGTACAATATTTGGTAGGTCGTCTATAGGCGTAAATGTCGCTCCTAAGGACTACATTACATAAGTAACGTTAAAACTTTTAAGGAGTTCGATAGTTGAACTGATTTTATAGACCAGTAGACAATCTACGCAGGGCTTAATTTGTGACGACCTTCGTTTGAGATTTGATGGGGGAAATACGGGGAAAGAACGAACATATGTGGGATATGAAGAGGGTCCAGGAACTGACAACGCCACGTGTCCTCTCGCTCGCATCACTGATTGATGTCAGTTGATGAAAGAGCACTGGTTTTTTATGAGTATGTAATTTTGATTAATTTTGTACTTTTTCACAATTTTTTTTTTTCGCGATGATGAGATTAAAGCATCCAGGGGGCTTCGACTTTCCCCCATAGTTTTGAAATTTCTGAAAAGTTCTGGATTTTTAGACTGGATGAGTGGGAAACTCTGGTCATAACAGGGCTGATTTTCTTTTCTTCTAATAATGCCCTGTACTGAAAATAGTCTTCAACATCTGAGAAAAATCCCACGTGTGCCTAAAACAGCGTAGGTAAAATTGAGACCTTTTATTCCTCCATTTTTTACGCATCTGAAAATGTGCTACATCCCGCGCGGAACAGGGACAACCCATGTTTAAATTCCCAAGCTTCTCATGAAACTCGTGCTAAGAATTCATAGGTACTAATAAAAGTACCTCGTATTAAAAATAATTAATCGTCTACACGAATTCGTGGGGACGGCAAATTCGGTTATAAATGCTGCCATAATACCGACATATTGTCCTCTTTGTCTTTTTTCCTTTTTAGCAAGTGTAAATTAGAAAAACGATACGGTAGCACATTATTTTTCAGTAAATCAGACTGAAATGCTCGCAAACTTTTGAAAATGAATTTATTCCTGGTCCGCAAAAAAACTAGTGCCTCATCCCCTTCAGCCGAAGGCGAAGGGAACAAGATATCTACTACGGAATATGCATGAAGTGGTGATATGTTCAATTTTTTCAAGTACGTCAACCCAGGTAAGCACCTTTCTTGGAATTTCAGTGGGCAGAGACGAGCGGTAAATGTGGCCGATCTCGCCTTAAATTCCGAATCTCATCCACATGACTTACAGTTTAAAGTACCGTACATGGTCCTGTAACATCTCATGCATTAATCGTCCTGAAGTCTAATTCACAGTTTTATAACGAAATCCAATTTCATAGAGCCCGCCACTCTCAATCGTATTACAGTAGATCGCGTGAACGAATTTCCGGTCTCGAATTTTCGTTTCGGGTTTGCTGTCACCTTACTTTTAAATCTGACTTACTGGTCAGTAAGCTTTAGTACTTTAATGTAGGTGTCGCTTCTTTCTGTAACAAATTCTCACAAGTATAGCATCCCGTGGATTTCCAGGATGAAGTTTCAGCTTTCTTTGCTTCATCCGAAAAAAATTAGCTGTCTTAAAAAATCAGTTATTCTGAAGTTTCCAGATTATGTTCCAAATTCTTTCTGCTTGCTAACTCTGTATCAGCACGTAGTTTTCATTCCGAAGAATTGATAACTCAAACAGTACAGTTATTGACTTATCTGCTCAGTACAATGGACTTCAGAACACCGGAGGATCGGTGAACTTTTTGGGCCACAAAACAAGACTTCGTAGCGGAAACGTCCTCCCGTCATGTGCTGTGATTTAACAATGGGTGCCATCCGAAAAAGTTCCTTTAAAAAAAACAAAAATCTTCTCTGCGGATCCCGTAACAAGGGTCGACGAACTTCGCCGGATGCGTTCGTTTCGGCCGTTGCCTCACGCCCGCCTTCTCACAGTTATGAATCCTGGCTCCAACAGCAAACCGAAATGTCCATCTGCTGACGACAGTTCCTCTAAAAAAAATCGTCATGTTATCAACTCTTGAATGCTGAACTTTTTGTGCTAAGTAAACATATTCTGTACTGTTTCTGTATTTGTTATTCTGCGTGCTAAGGCAAAGATGTCACTTCTGTAACTTGTGTTAATCACGCTCCCTAAAAATACATGCACAGTACAATACTGTACTCCAAGATATTGCTGGTTTGGCAAATACAAGACATGTTGTTT